ACGACTTCTATGAGCGCATTGGTATTTCTCGACTCACCCACTCTTGAGTCAAGAGATGTCTATACGCGCATAGAAGCCGCAAGCTCATTCTCTGGACTCGAGAGGTGTACTTTCTCAGTCGCTTTATCCATGCTAGGCTTTTTTTCTTCTTGAGAACTTCAGTCATTTTATTAAATTGGTGCATGGGAAACGGCTATGATAGACTGTAAACATCACTGGTAGTGATGTCAGTGAATTCGTCACATCAGCATCCTATGTACCTCCAATTTCCACGGCTAGCAGAATAACAGCACCTAATTAGTCAAGTCCCAGTTTCTGAGTCCAAGCTGTATAAGATTTCAGGCTGAGAATCGAATAAAAAGCCAGATTACCAACAAAGAACGCATAGATCACAGCAATGTAGTGTTCTGCTCATTGTGGGCTTATGAAGAAACTCGATCTCAAGTAGAACGAGCTCTGCAGGACTTGCAATCACGTCTGCAATCACATCCCTCTTCAGAGTAACAGTCGTTGCTCTATAGGGCGTCTCATTTTTAACTAGGTTGTTGATCGTATATGAGCTAGATCGTCTGTGATTTGTAATAAGAATACATGCATTATAATTTAACGTGTAATTTTATGTTATGTTTAATTTGAATGTTTCAATGTATTGTAAGCAGTAAAGTATATTCATTTTCATCTCGATAACCGTAAAACTTCAAGATCACTGGGAGAGTATATTAATATTAACTGTTACAACATACAACGATTTTTCATTGTCAAAGAAAATGAATGGCACAGAAACTATTCAGGGTTATCATCTAATTTCGGCCTCTTCTCAGGTGTAGCACCGCTTTCCTCCTTGTCTTCATTAACTTCTTGTGATGTTGACACAGATACTGATTCTGTCTTCTGTCCAGCTCCCGACTTTTTCTTCTCCTTGTCGTCATCATCGTCATCGCTCTCTCCTTTTATGTAATTCTGCCATGACTCTAGTCGTCGCTTCCTATCCTCTTCGCTTTCCTCTACTTTGTATCTCGTTTTACCATCCCAAATGGCCACTTCTAATCTGAAATCGAAAGGTTTGCTTGGCAATACAAGACTGCTTTTAGTACTTGTAAATAAGCAGAACTGGTATGAGGATATACTAGTAGTGATGATTAATTAAATGAAACAAATAACGTAATATGTTAAAAAAGCAATGTAACTAGAAAACATCTACGAGAGACTCGAAACTTCCCGCAAGAGAGATGCAAAATAATAGCTAGTTTTTCAAATATTCATAGTAAGCCTTCTTTTGACAAGCTTTCAGCATCCAGTGCCTATATTTTCAGTATGAGTATGGTCGACGGACTACTTGAACTCAGCCCTTTACCGCCTCTGCGCTCTCTAGCGGGTCCCTCTCCTCTCCAAGGCTTAGTCCTAGGGCATTCTCTAATCGTCTGTGCTCTAGCCATCGCGGCAGGACCATTGAGGAAAAATCAAGTAGTCCGTAAACCGTATGAGGAGTATGTATCACTATCAGACATGGATCTGGGGTTCGGACATGGGGTTCCCGAAGCAAGAAAAGCTCCGCGGATTGGAAAGCGGAGAAGTCGCTTGATGTCTTAGCGAACCACACCCTTTAATTGTAGCTGGAAAAAGAGCTCATTCAAAATTAATCATACAGGACTTCAGTCAATTCTATTTTAGGCACTTACTGGCAAAGCTGTGTAGGCATCAAAGCTCGCAAAAAGGTTTCAGATCTTCAATAGACTTTTGCACTATGTTTGAGTACTCTTATGTAGACTTTTTGGTCTTTTCGTAGTAAGAACATGCTGGACAGTCCCAATTTGTTACAAATATGATAAACTTTTGAAGAGCAAACTTTGTCATCTACAGCGCCCGTTGCATTTGACCGCATATCGGAAAAGAATCTGTTGTTTCAAATGTTACTGTAACAACGCCCTCGGGATTATTCTGAAACAACTCCCAATGAACTTCCCTGGATTACGACATAAGTGTTATATGTCAAACCAAAACGCATAAATCAGCAATAAAACCCACATCATAAACGACTACTTTTCATTTTACAACACCATATTTGGCAGCAACTTTGCTGTACTCTTCTTCATTTATCATAGTATGCTGCATTTCTCTGCATAACAGATTAGTAAATCAAGAAAATCATTAGAGGGTAATAAGCAGACTTGAAAAAACTACCATCATCATTTCCAATGTGAACAAATTCTTGATCACAACTGATCAATGACAGAGGACGATAGTTACGTGGTTTCTCAGGCCTCCACTCGAAAATTCTATAAGGTTTTGCTTTACATACAAGCAAATATTTAGTTGACATCCTTTCATATCATGACTAAATGTTACCTGTTCTGATTTTCCATATATCTCTTCTTTTTGAGCACTGCTAAGTTTCTTGCGCTTCTTTGGATGGGTCAAACTCTCCCTTGAGCTCAAAACGAGCCTTTTCAACATGCACTTCTTTTCCTTTTAACACATAACCGTCAAGAATGGAGAGTGCTAAGTCCACAGATTCCTGTAACGAAGAAAAATGTTAAGTCCAAATTTCCAATTCATATATAACGATCCGGAAACAAAAACATGACGTTTTGCTAGTGGTGATCATCTATTAAATCAGAAAACCGGATTTGACCCTGCATAAGCTGGGATAGGCTGGACTTTGAACCCGCTGCCTACTTCGTGAAGGATGGGCAACACTGAGTCCATGCAGCAGCGATATCAATTATTTTCTCTAATGGAATGAATATGAAAATCGTTAAGAAGTCAATAATATGGAGAGCAAACCTTTTTTATATAACAACATCTTCCGTCGCCCTTCAGCTGGCCTTGTTCATCGACGTAAAGCTTCAATTTTGGCTTATTCGTACGTGCATCAGGTTGAACTACACCACATTTTGACATAAACTCCTGAAGAACACAATCAGAACGGATCGAAAATTACTGTTCCATTTCAAGCAGGGAGAAGGAAGCAGAGAAAACCAGATGGAAGTCACTCAAACAAAGAAACAGAAGAAAAGGAAGCGCGGAGAAGTGAGACGTTCACCCTAGTGGAACACGCGAATAGTAGTTAAATGCTAGGGTTACTAGCAAACGAGGATAGAGAAGTTAAAATAAGAAGGATGAAGCTTTCGTCACTGAACACTCTGTTTCGTGGATGCGCCACCCCTTCTGTTCCATTCAGAATCGTAACGGCATTCTAATGAGATATGGCCTAATAACTTGCTACAACCAGCCGGAACAGTCAGGTTTTTAATCTCCCTGATGGCCTGATACCACTACCCGCCCCTGAAGAGAGCTCCACATCTGAGCACGATTCAGTCCAAGATTTGACCTTCAGACCGCACTCATGGAAAGTGTGCGTTTGCGCGCACGTAGCACCACCCATGTAACAATAATGAAAAGGAAGCAAATGGAAGTGTGTCTGGCTTTCTTCTCTCAATGAGGGACAGTTCCTAACAATGACGAACGAAGGAGGTCACCCTAACCGCAGATTCAGCGAGTGCACAAGATTGGCGCTCGGAATGACATACAGAGGTATGTCCAGAAGGAAGGAGTTGTGAAAATAGATGGATGTGCGATCTTTTAATTTTCAATTCAAAAATCAGTTTTCTATCTTTTTACTTTGCTGTATTACTAACACGTCTTACGGAGACACATCCAATGTTCTCTAATGCGGTTC